TTTTTTGGAGTGGAAATTAGGAGGTGTAAATTGTGAAGTGCAGAGAGATAAATGATGTAACAACGAGAGACAGTCAGAATGGAAGTATGTATAAAAGCCATCTCGTGCCCACCATCATTCGCAACAGGTGTTTGACCCATTTCACAAGAAGTAAATTCGTTGGTCTGAACTCTGAACAGAAAATGTTATTTGGATCTACCGACTATTCACTATAATTTTCACTGGAGAGGAATGCAGATTAGTTGACAAGGAAGGCGAGACTCGAGAGGTATTGTGGTGGACCAAAAAATTTTCCCCTTGGAACTCTCGTGTGCTATTATTTCCTCTTCAACAATATTGTGCGACTATGTTCCCCTTGATCTCCCATGCTCAGATACACTATAGATCAATTTCAAATCCAATAAAAATTCTGAGAGGCATTCGAGAAGAAATTAGATCATGAAATGTACGATCATTCAAAAGAACGGTAGCTGTTATATTTACTATACCTAACAATGTCGTTGAATTTTATGGAAACGGTAATTTTCTTACAAACGTTTGCCAGCATCACTAACTATATTAYATCTTTAACCCAAAGACTAAGAGTTTAAAAGTTGTCGCATTACCAGAATATTAAGAATATATTCAAAAGCTTTAATTAAACTTAATTGAAGAAATTTGACACAAAAGTTGTCTAGGGTTGGTGACTTTTGGTCACAAGTCAATAGCGTTACAAAACAGACCAAATATAACGGAACATAGAAAACGATACAGAAAATACATCTGTCACGAGACAGAGAGGAACCTCCCTTATTGTTTCACTCGTTATTTAACGAGAGCAAACTTTTTACAGCATAAATTTCCAATCAGGGACATGGATTGGGAAACCTTGAATGAATTTTGTCTATTTCAGAAACTAGTTCAGGTGTGAGCTCAACCTTAACTGCATTGAGAATATCCAAGAGCTGCCATGACTTGGTAACTCCAAAAACAACACTTGCTACAAGGGGATGCCTGAGAACAAATGCTGCCAAACCCCGAAAATAAGATATTGCTCGGCAAATATAGAAACATAAGAAATGTCAAAAGACAAAACACTTGTAAAACTATTGACCAGCTGCAACAACATAGACGAACCATAATCCAGGGTGTAACAAGTCCTCTGCAAAAGATGTTAAGGGAATATAATTTATTTTAACTTCAGTCCATTCAAAAAGGTGTAAACCTTTTAGAATGATGGTTAGTCAGATGGATCAGCTCATATATCTCAAAGATGCAAGTGTCATTGGGAGGCAACTAGATGATCTTAAATAAAATCAAAAATGGGAATTTGACCCATTAAATATCGGTAGTGCAGATGAGAAACCAAAAATCATTTGTCATGAATCATTTCCAAATACCAAAGGTCATTTCTGATTCGTAACATTGAAGGCTAACAAAACAAGTCAAGCTATCAATTATTTATGCTCCAGCATAAATAAACAATAAGCTAACCTAGCAATGGACTTTTCCTGTTTTTTTAGTACAAGTGGGAGTAGGGAAATTCAAATTTATGACCTCTTGATCAAAGACACGTGTCAACTACTCCTTAGCTACATTAGCTAGACTTTTTCCAGTTGAAAGTTGAAATTTCGGTATCCCACAATTTAATTCAAATAAAAGCTACGGCCAGCTTTTTCATCTTTTTTTTCTTTTTGGTATTTCTCAATGTAAATTTTGGGTTCACACTCCAAGAACAATGATTTCCAATTCTGCTCTATCTCAAAAGATAATTTGGCAAATTCTTCTCACAAAGTTCATTAAATATAGTACAAAAACTCATAATAGATTAAGTCTGTTCTGCTGCAATTCAGAACACATTTGTCAAGGCGTACAACCTACTTTACATAAAATGTCCCAAACACCCGAAGAAACAACATACAGAGGAAAGAAAAGGAGAACAAACCAATTGCTAGAGAGACTGGATGAAGGCCATATTTCTTAGCAACCTTAACATATTCCTACAAACATTAGGCAACAGAGAATAGTAAGTGAAAGCACCAAGTGAAATAGTCCACATACTTTGAAGCATTCACGTCAAATTCCATTAAGATCTGAAGTAAGTGGTGACAATGAAACAACGCTATCGGAAAATCAACTGGAAAAGTAACCACCTCCCCCGCCCAATCATGCTACAAGCTTTTTAACCCCACATACTCTTCTTCAACACTCCAAAATGCAAAAGCTTCACAATTCATCAATCCGTTATCTTTGAGTTTTCATGTACCAAAAAAAAATTAATAATAATAATACTCAGAATTTGCATACCATGGTAGCTGTTCTAATGACGTTATTGGTTAGGTTGTACCTAGATTCCCCTTCTAAATATTTCCCTGGATTGAAAATAACAGCTCAGTTTACATAAGAAAGTTGAAGTCCAAATCTAATTTGTAACAGTTTCCTTCCCATTTAAGATCAGAAAAAGAAAAATATGAGGAAGCATTTTATAGGAACCTTTATAAAGATTAAGCCGAGCATCTCCAGGACCGCCTTCAGGAGAAAAGTACTTCCCAGAAAGTATGCCCATTGCCAGGGGACTGTATGCTAATAAACTGATTCTGAAAAAGGTTGAATAATCCGTCAAATGACAATAATTAACATTTGAGGAATCAACCATATGACATAATCACTTAAAGGAAAAAACAGTTAAAATCATGCAATGATTCATTAACACTTCATTTGGTGAGTAACCAGGTAAATATAACGGTACAGATATTGAAGTTCAATAGCAATTTCCAGACTCTTCTTTTTAGAGAGAGAGAGAGGATTTCGTTGTCCCTCAATGACATCTTTTTCTTTTATAAGCAACCGAACTTTCATTCAGAAAATAAAAGAAGGTACAAGAAGGGGGAAAAACCCAACAAAAGGAGGTCAATGTACAAAAAGAGGTTCCAAACTTTCATTGAGAAAAATGAAAGAATGTACAAGGCTCGCCCAGAGACTATGAACAAATCGACTGAGCAAACTAACATCTCCAAAAAATATGGTCCTCCGAACTCTGAAACACATTTGCCTAGAATACACCACTGCAGCCCCAATAAAAGGGAAGAGCACCTCTAAATGAAATCCAAGGCACTAACCCTCCCATGCAAGACATGCCAAGAAAAGAATTTGATCTTCTTCGGAATCTTAACCTTCCAAAGCGAGGTAAACAAAGGGGCATCTAGGGGGAGCAAGGGAACGATATAAAGATGGAAGAGAAAACCACCGATTGACTATAGGTCCAAACCAGAATGTCCTTCCTCCCTAAAGAAAGATACCCTAAGCAACGTAAGCAAGTTTGAAGCCTCCAATACTTCTCTGTCCGTCAAAGGACAACAAAGCATCGAGGAAATGGAAAAGGAACTACTCAAAGGCGACAAAAATGAGGCAACTAAATGCAATCTCATATTTGATAGGTGGTATAATTGAGGATATAAAAGACAAAGGGTTTATCTCCCACCCAACAAACCTCCCAAAAGTAGATGATAAAAGAACTACCTCAATTATGCTTGAGAACTCCCTTAGTCAAGGTGAACACCCACAACAATAATAAGAAAACCCCAATAACAAGATGATAAATCAACCCCGAGAAAGCTAAACAGATTTATGCTTGGAAAGATGATTAATGATCACGAAGAACTTCAAGATTTCGAACT